TTAACTAAATTTAAGGCACAAATAACAATAATAATACTAATAATAAAGTGAGGGAAAACTTTTAAAGATAATTTAATAAAGCACGAGACAAGTAGACGTAGCAACCTATTTCCATTTCATCGTCACACTGAGTAGTCTCTTCGACGGTGATTTCCACATCACCACTAGAAGCCTAAAAATAAAATATAACAATTTTATAATAGTGTACATGGAAAGTAATGCAGCAAAATTAGATAAACAAACCTGAGCAGATGCCTGAGGTTTTGATCTGGAGACATCTTCATCAGCTGCTGATTGGGTATTGATCACATTAGAAGCTAGTGGGACAGAGGGATAAACCATACTCATGGGTGGGAGGGGAAAATTAGGCAAATGTGCAGGAAGGAAAGTCTGGGTAGAGGATAGAGTATTTGGCAAAGAGGTCTGAAGAGGAGCTGATGAACTCGTGGGTAAAAATAATCGAGGAGGAGGAAATAAAAAATTATTAACAAGAGGCTCTGTTAAACCCTTTGGTGTTATGGGAGATTTCGCAGAACTCTGAGACTGCAGTTGTCCCCTCGAAGTAGTGCGTGATCTATCGCGATCTCGTTGAGCCCGACGAGCGCGCCATGACTCATAATTTCCTCCGAGTCCCTCATAAACAACCTTTTGTGCTAGTGAGTCAAACTCTTTAGGCATCCTTGCTTTGACAAGCTTCTCGACTATCTCGGTTATTCCATGCGATAGAGTATCATCCGCCGAAATGTTCCGCCTTAACTCCTCTCTTAATTCAATCTTAGCCAAATTCTCCGACCAATTACAGCTATCAAGAAAATTTTTAGCGAGGGTATCCACTTTTATCAGAAGTTCTTTGTATTGAGGTATACGAGTTGCTTCTTCGAGACATTGTTTTCGAATTCTATCAAACATTCCTTGACTTTTTAGTTTCTCTACCATATCTATAACTAGATGCTCATCCGAAACTTTATCTGAAGAGCCTCCACCATTCCTATTTCTAGTAGAAATCCTAGTCATACCAGACAAGGCAATAGGGATTCATGCAGACCGCCGATACCTGCTCGTGTTAAATGCGACGCCCAATTGTAACAACAAAATATGGTATATAAATAAATTATGCTGAATAAATACCTTTTGAATTATATTGGTTTGCAGTTATTCTCACTTTGCACGTGCAATCCTTTTCCTCAGTTTTTGCTGACGACCTAGTATGCCTAACATTTCCGAAGAGCCCCGTTCCTGTGTTAATCACGATTCTGGAGTACTAGCAAATGGCGATGGAAATTGTGCTTCTTCTGATAATATTTTAAAAGGTCTAGAAAAAAGTGCCACTAAGGTTGACCTAAGTGATGAAGTCGTTTACACCGTTAAAATATTTCCCATTAATTCTGACTCATTCGAGCTACAAGTATTTTTGTTTGGCTCATTTTATTTTTTGTAGGTTAGTTCATTCCAAGAAGTGGATGAGATACAGAAGGTTCTCACCGAACGTGAAGAAACTTGTCACCGAACCTGTTTCTCGCTAACATTCAATGGAAAAACTTTGGATCCTTTCTCTGAGTTAAAAAACATAGAAGGCCTTGGTGATGGGGCTGAACTTAGAGTTGTAGAGGGTTCGTATACTTTTTTTGGCATTGCTTTTTCAACAGAGAGATATAATCTTCGTGAAGCAAAGAACCACGTTCGCCATGTCCATTCTGTTCTTCATAGCGTCGATCTACGTGACGCTTATTTGGGTCGAGAACAAATGTCTCTGTCTTTCGTAACCTCTATTACTGGTAACGACATCCTAGGTAGTAAGCAACATACCTTTAGATAAACCTATCTCATACCTTTTAAGTGGTCTTATTCATTGTTTCTATTATTTTCAGAATGGCATTCATTTCAAACGAAGCCTGATCCAGATAATGGAATCGTCCCTCCTGATTACCTTATTCCTGGAAACTCGGCTACTAGGGCCGTATGTCTTCCCCTTGTGCCCTTGCACCCACAGGAAAAACTAATAAAATGTCTCAAGCAGATGAATTTTAGTAATTGGAATCCTCCTCCTACCACTCGTCGTCTTGTTGGAGACCTCCTTTACCTCTATGTTCATACCTTAGAAGACAAACGGTTTCATATAACATCATGTCCTCGAGGCTTCTATGTGAACCGGTCAGTAACTTATTGTTTTAGTTATAGTTTTGATACATTATATCAGCAAACCCCAAGTGCCTCTGGCTAGTTTAATTGAATTCACTTTAATGCTTCATATAATTTACTTTGGTATATTGTATATTTTAACTAGACATTGACTTACCAGGTGGCGCTGTTGCTGCGACTCGCTTCGCAATTAATCCCTCATATATTAGGAATTTTTTGGGCTTGATAAACTAGATTTCTTCATAAGCTGATGCTTATTTTGTTTTCCAATCAGTTTCATTTGTGCGCCGCGATCTTTCTTTCTACACAAATGCTTTTTTTGTGCGCGAGATGGATTGCATCAAAAAACCTTAACACTCAACCACTTGGCGATAATTTTTAAATTAGGTGGCTATATTACCCTATGTCTTTGTCAAGCTGCTTAAATGATAGTTTATTATCATTTGTTCCAAAGCTTA